GGCAGCTGGGAGCTAAACTCCCCACAAAGAGGAGGTTGGGCTGAAAGACAGTTGTCTGGACTCTGCCTTCAGAGACGGGAGCATGAAGGCTTCACCCTCACTTTACTTAGCCACTCCAGCAATCATGCTTCATTCCTTAGTGCCACTCTGGGTTGTTAGTCTTCTCTTCCAGAACACCCTCCTTACAGAGGGCCCATGTGTCTGAGCGTACTGATGTCTCTCCTGCTTATTCTGGTCTCCGTTCTTCCTGAGTTCATAACTTGGTATTTTCCATTTTGACTGATAGCTTTTCCTTCCCTTTGTAATAGATGCCCCTGACCAACCGACCGACCACTATTGCCTTTGTTTGGACAAATACCAGAATGCTCCCAGAAAGTGAGCCATCAGAACACTGTCTCCATGGGATACATTCTTGCTAGCCTTTAGAATTATCCCCCCCCCCCCGCGCGCCAGAAATTCTTGTGAGTTGTCTTGCTGTGTTGAATACCTCCAGTTGGGCAAAACCTTATCAGTTGAGAGCACATTTTATTCTTCCCAAGAACTATGAGCTGTCCACAGCCTGGTCTGGTGACTGAAAGGGTGTGTAAGTTGGGGAAGATAGCCAGGGGTTTAGAAAGATGTCGACACTATTAAATATTGTAACTGATATTCTCATGTGGCTCCAAAATTAATTCCAAAATGACCTTCCAAAATACTTAGAGCAGTGGCCACCTCACCAGAATAAGCCTAGTCCTCTCCTGAAGTGACTCTCACAATGGTCACCACATTTTGTATCACAGTGCAAATTTCTATGCCATCATTTTGAGTTCTTCTTATAGTAATAGCATCTAGTAGATGGGTGGCCCCATCAGCCCCCAAGTAATATCTGTTTGGCTTATGATGGTGACTTCAAATTTGCTAGATGTGATGATTGTGAACATCATGTAAGGTAGAGGGGAAGTATGTGGCTAGGTCTCAGATGCAGACCTGGCATCAAGACCCCTGTGGAGTTATGATAATGAGCCCAGATATCTGTATCAGTAAGAACTCCAGGGGATTCTGCTGCAAGTTGAAAATGACTGTTTTGCCAGACTGACATCAATAACAGCACCCTCAATATAAAATGAACCCAAAGGAATTATTCAGAAAAAGCACTGTACTCCGGAGCTCCATAAACACCAGTTTCTTTTCCCCCAAGTGTGTGAGAAAAAGAGTAAATTGTTTGTATTTCCAAGATATCCACAACTCCAAGTTACATAATACACACAAAGATCAACCAAAGGAACCTTCAAAACCTGACACCTTTGTAACAGTGGTTCTAGGCCCTGGCTACATCATGATGCCCTGTTTTACCTCACACATCAGACCCAAATCTCTGGAGCCAGGACCCCAGGACCCTCTTTTAAGGCTCTTGCAGTGAACATCTGAGATAAAGAATCCCAGAGGCTTTGTTTCTGTTTCTGCTCTGACTTCATCTGTGACGTAATTAACTGCTAAACTCAAGGTCTGGTGACTCTTGATCCTCTCTGGGACCTGAACTTGGTGTTTTCTTTTTAAAAAATATTTATTTATTTATTTATTTATTTATTTATTTTTATGTGTATGGATGTTCTGCCCGGCTGCATGACTGTGCACGGGCTACATGCTGGGTCCACAAAGGAGGGTGTAGGATCCTCTAGGACTGGAGTTATAAGTGGTTGTGAGCTGCCATGTGGGGTTGCTGGGAATTGAACCCAGGTCCTTCAGAAGAGCAGTCAGTGCTCTTAACCTCTGACCCATCTCCCCAGCCCAAACTCAGTGTTTCTCCCACCAGTCAGTACAGCAGTTTCACAAACTCGTTGAAGAGTCCCCCTGCTTACCGATTTCATTTGCCCCCTATTTCTTGCATTCACACCCTGCTGTGATTTGGCCTTATTAGCTTGGAACCTTGGGTCAGAAACTGGTTTAATGAGCCTCGTCCATCTCCCTGACCTACTGAAACTCACTTGACTTCTCGGCCTCTTGACCTTATAAGGCAATAGACATATGGCTTAGATACCTGATGACTGTAGTCACAGTAACAGTTAAGAGTCTAAAACTAACTAAGCAACCAACTTCCTTGATGGTGTTGGAGACAGCTAGGCTCCCCTTCAGGCTCTGGTCCCTTGGAGGTCAGAAATAAGGATCATTTGGACCAAGAGTAGGCCACTATGGATAAATGCATCAGGGATCCCCTGTCACACTTTGAGTTTCATATACTCTGGCCAAAGGTTATGTTGCCTGGTTGAGTGGTAGTGTCTAAGTTCATCACTTCATATTCCAAGGTTCCATATCCTTTGATTCAACTAACCAGATCTAGAATATTTGGAAAGAAATTATGTATGTGCTGAATATATACAGCCTTTTGTTCTTATTATCAGCCCCTCAATAATACAGTATAACTACTTACATAGTGCTCACACTGTAGGACACATTATAAGATATCAAGAACTGGTTTAAAGTATAGAAGAGGATTGTGCAGGTTCTGGGCAAACACTACACTCCTTAAAGGCTTGAGCATCTGAGGACTTTTGATGTCTGTGAGGGGTGTCCTAGAGCCAGCTGTCCACTATCAAAGAAACAGTTGCACCTGTACCTATCGATTGATGGATGCTTCTGAACAGTCAATTTTGTTTTGCTGCTTAGTGCTGAAGTGCTGGCTTCATTGACTTGGGATTAAATCTTTCAGAATCATGTGTGTTTCCCCCTTAGGAAGAGCAAATGAAGATAAATGAATATAGGAGGGGCAGAAGAGGTCCAGCAAACCAGAATCGCCTCCCATCCTTGACTGCAGTATGACAGGGAGGGTGTGGGGCTTCTTGCTGTAGCACTGGACGCCCATTGTTCAACACTGCATTGCTATCCAGCTCTACAGCAATGGGTGCTTCTTGTGCCCTGCCTTCCTCCTCCTCCCAGTTTCAATTCCAAGACTGGTTCTACTCTTTGGGTTCCAGGATTTCCCTACAGTTATTGCTGATTCAACGACAAAGCTGTCCCAGATCCACAGAGTCTCAGTCCTCCTTCTCTTCCCATAGTATGGATAAGGATCTGCTTTGTATGAAAGCTTGCAATAATACCAGCCATGTCAGAATGGTTCAATAGTTTCCTTGCTGCCAAGGAAAAGTTGAGGGGTGGGATGGGGTGGTTGAGACCCAGAAAAGCTAGGATTGAGAGAAATATTTAGCCCCTCTAGCTCCTGTCTTTAGGGTTGTTGTGAAACTCAAATGAAATTGCCTATATTTCTTTTAGAAAATATTTTCCAAACTCCTAAGCTGTTATAAGGGCGTAGTCATTATCCTTCAAGGTGAACTGGAATCCTGCTGCCCTGAGTCCCTGTCCTTGCTGTTAATATGTTTGTCCCTATTTATTAGTTCTAGTTAATGAAGACAAGTGTAGTTGTTGCCCCTAACTAGACTGCTTACTCCTGGAGAGCAAGGCTTGTGGGCCTCGTTCACTCTCTAGTGAGCACAGAAGCCAGCATGGGGCCCAGCAGGCACGTCTCGGTGTGTGTAGGGACAGGAGGCAGAGCTACATTTAGGTAGTGTATTTCATACACCACATATTATACAGGGCCTCCCTGTGAGAACAGAAGAGTCACCAAGGATGGGAAGAGAAACTTCAGAGAAAAAAAAAAAGCATTGTGGTGTAAGAAACTACTAAGTCATTTCTAATTATATAAACATTTAGGGTATGATAACTTCTTAAGAGAAGCCAGTGGATTCTAACATGTAAATTTCAGGAGTGTTGCTCAATAAAGAAAAATCAAAATGTGATTGTTGTAGGACCCATCTTGGAAGAAAAGTATTTCAGGAAACGAAATACTTTGTTGGCCTAGAAGATGCCCAAATGTGACATGCAGAACTGCTGGGATCAGCTTGCTTGACATAGCTCTGTACCCCATCAGCCTGCTAGATGACAAAGGACAGGTTATGGCAGAGTCCAAATGCAACTAATGCCCATAGTAGCCAGGCGATGGATCTTCAGTCTGCCGTGATAGTTGCCACTGCCAGAGAACCTCCTAGAGTGTCACTGACCTCATTTTATCCTGACAAAACACAGAGTCTCCTTCCTGTTTTCAGGTGAGGGAGGCAGAGCCCAAAGAATGCAATTTCTTCTCCGAAGTCAGATGGGCAGACAGCACTGTGGAAAAATGTACAAGCTTGAGCTTCTGTTACTCACTATTCTTCTTTGTGTTACTTATTCCTGTTCTTCAGGGTCAATAATTAAACGATTTCAGTGCTACAATAAATTTTTGCAAAAAAAAATTAGCCTATTTTTCTAAGAGTCAACATTAGACATCTCTGGACTATGTCAAAGTTAACTAGGGAATCTAATTAAAACCAAGCTGATTCTAGGATGCCACCGGGGAAACAAGGAAGCTAAAATGAACCAAGGGCCTGCCACAGGTTCTCAGCCTTTCTTCTTCTCAATGGTTAAGATGGGGAAGTTTCTTCTTTCTTGACAAGGAGGGGTACTTCCCCCATCAGATGAACATTGAAAAGAGTACTAGTGTGGGCAGAGGGGTAAGGTTTCATCCTTGGCTCTGCCACTAATTAGATAATTGCTCTAGGCAAGCCACTTAGCCTGGTTGTTCTCAGTTTCCAGGTCCTGAAATGGGAACATGGCTACCGCCTGCCTGCTCTCCTCACATGGATTCGATAAAACTAGGAGCCTGCCTGCTCACTCACTGGAAACTCTCCAAGGGCTTATGCAGGTTCTGATTTTAAGATCTGGGGAAAATGGCCTAATATATTCTGAGCCTCAGTTTCCCTATCTGTAAATTGCACAGAGTCCACTGAGCTGTGTCTGGAAGAAGAATGTAAATGGGGTGATATGGACAGCGTCCCCCTGAGCTGTGCCATATGGACAGTTCTCGGTGCAGTGGCCGAACACATGGTGTATTAATGTTTGCGTGCTTGAAGGAATGTAGCACAAATCAAATCTCCAATGCCAAACAGAATCCTGCCTCTAAGTAGCCTCTTCTCCATAGCTCTTCCTCAGCCATGGGACATCTCTTCTCTAAGGCAGGAGTCTTGACAAGGTGAGGGGCTTTGTCCATGAAGGTGTTGCTGCTAATACACAGCCTGTGATGATTTCGCCACACCAGCATGGCTGCTTTAGGTGTTTCTAATGACTAGGTCATGTGTTAACCCTGCTGTCGTCAGGAAGGGTGCGGGCTGGTGCTGGAGGGGAATTCAGCATCTCCTACCTGGATCTCATGACCCAGAGCTACAGTGTAGGATTCCACTGTAGGCACCCCTCCTGCCTGCCTTTTCTACACCAAGAAGGCTGGGACCCCTCAACACATCCCACCTGGTGAACTCAGGATGAAGATGCAAAATCTAGGGACCAGTAAAGTCTGGTAGAAGATGCAAAATCTCCCAAAGGGCGGGTTCCTAGAGGGTGAGGTGGATTGGGTGAAGAAGAGTGGGGTTCCTGAGATCTGAAAGTCAGAGAGAGTGGAAGAGAAAAGGGGAGATGAGGGAAACAAAGGGGAGAGAGGACAAGAAAACCCAATTCCCTCACTTCACAATTCTCACAAGGTTCTGCTTGGCCATCAGTGTGTGTATCCAGTGGGTAGTCCATCTATCCAGGGATCTGTGTCTGCCAACCAAGTATGCGGGAAAGTCAAAACAGGGCTTCTGCCTCAAATCTGCAAGGGGATGAGGGGCATGCCAACATTCCAGGAATCCCCAAATAGTGATTTGCTGTCTAGATAACAAGAGGCTGGAAGCCAAATGAAAGGGAGAGCAGCCCCCGGGTTTGGCAACCTCAAAAGGGAAGGTAGAATGAGCCAGGCTGGAGCTGATTAGATCAAGCCTTGACAGCCACAAAAGGCACTGAACATCTTCTACAGAAACACAAAACAAACTAATGTCTTTATTATACAAGTAATCTATGTTATTTATAGAAACACAAGAAAACATAATCAATAGGCTGGGGATGGGGGTGGGAGCTCCCTAACTCCATTACTCTGCAGCTCTTAACAGTCACTAATGACTAAGTGCCTGGATTCTAGGGTTGCCCTGCCCAGGGCAGAGTTCAAGTCTCCACTTATCAGCTGGCAGCCACAGGTGGATTATTTATTTAGCTTCTGTGGGCCTGCTTTCTCATATTTAAGGCAGGGATGCTAATAATTGCTACTCTCGAAGAAAGCTGTGAAGTTTGAAGATGCTAACACAGTACTGTCTAAAATCGTAGCTGAACTGTATCAAACTACATGATTGTGATACTGTGACCATTGTAAGAATGCTTATTGTTTACTGTATTTCTAGCTGTTTTCCTGGATAACATAACAGAAAATGTTCTGTGTAATTCATGCATTTTTCTGAGGACATAGTTGCTCTATCTGTTGATAGGTTGTCTTTTTGTGGACAGGCTGTCTTTTGGGGTTTTTTGTTTTTGTTTTTTGTATGTTTTGACTAGTAAGCTAATGCTGATTGCTTATGGTGGGCTGTGCCCAGTGCTAAAGGTTTCACACAGATGATCACAATTAAGTCCTCACAATAACTGTCAAGTGGGTGCCAACAAGGGGATGTTAACGTGCCTTTGTAGCTGAAACTTATGGAGTTAGTGAGCAGAAAAGTTAAGACTTCTGGCCTAGATGTTCTGACTCGCCCATGCTAGCACTTGATATGGACTTCATAAGAAGATTCCCCTTTTCCTTAGGACCTCTTAAAAGTGGCAGGTTTGGGTGTGGGTGTGTGTCTTCCTCTTCCTATCCTGCAACAAAGAGAAAAGCAAGCAAGAGTTGGTCTGGTAGCCCAGGCCAGCGGGGTTTGTATGTGCTGCCTTTTACCTCTTGTAGGCACACACTTTGTGTGAACTGAAGTGTCTCTGCCTTGTGCTCTCTCTGGGCTTTACTGGCATCTTCAGCCTCTTCTATGACATCCCTCTCAGATCTGAAACAGGATCAAGGCCCAGGACCAGGCTTCATTTTTACTGAGTGCATCTTACCTGGGAAAAGAGAACCTTGTTCTCCATAGCTTTTGACAGTACCATGTGTGCCACTGACCATAGTTTCTTCATCTTTCCCTTTCCATCATTGGATTTTGACCCCTGCCCCTAAGGTCTGTTAATTAATTTAATCAAGTCTTCATTGAAACCCTATTCATGTGAAGCCAAGTTCTGGCTCCCACAGGAGTGTGGGAGAAGGAAGCCATGTGAGAAGACACCAATACCCACAAACCCAGAACAAGTAACAAAAAAGCAGCTTGCTTGCAGTTCCACTGGGCTGAGCCAAGACTGGTTCAGTTGGAGAATGACTTTACAGTAGATAGGGGGATAAGCGTGGCTCTACCAGGAGTGTGATAGGATGCCAGTGATGTTCCAGTGACTAACCCCTTCCTTCTTCACTTAGGAGCAGCTCGGAGCTGAGGAAGGAGAAATCCCGAGATGCCGCAAGGTGCCGACGCAGCAAGGAGACAGAGGTCTTCTACGAACTGGCTCATGAGTTACCTCTGCCTCACAGTGTGAGCTCCCACCTAGACAAAGCCTCCATCATGCGGCTAGCTATCAGCTTCCTGAGAACACACAAGCTCCTGTCCTCAGGTAAGGCTGACAGGTCTTGCCTGAGGCTGGCATACTCCTAGGTCTTACCCCGAGACATATTACTCTACAAATATCCACTCACAAAAAGGAAAACAATGACCTTTAGTTTACATGAGTTTATCTGTGGGTTGAGTGTATGTATGTGGGTACATACAGAGGTCAGGGGACAACTTTCAGGAGTCCATTCTGTTCTCCTCTTCCGTCATCTGGGTTCTGAGGCTTGAACTCAGGTCACCAGGCTCGACAGCAAGCGCCTCTACCTACTGAGCCATCATTCTGGCCTTGTTCCTTCATTCTAGCCATCTCCTCTCTGTCGATGGTCTTATCATGAGTACACCCAGGGGAAGAGGTCAAGGAGAGGCCCAAGCCTAGGGTCTGAGCACCTGAAGCAAGGGAGAGAAGGGGCTGGGAGAGCAGGCAACAGCTGTTAGAAGCCCAGCTCGGCTATATCTGGCTGTGAGCCCTATGCTCTGCTATGGTGACTCTGCAGGAAGCCTTTCATCCTTGTCTTCCAGTCACATCTCCAGGACATGGTTGAGGGTGTACCTCATCCATTTATCACCTCCTTCTAGCCAGTTACGCAGGCCATGCAGTATCTCAGAACCTTGGTTTTGTTGCCTATAAACTGGAATTATCCATGCTTACTGCAGGGGTGGTGGTGGTGGTGGTGGTGTAAGGATTAATGGGGCCAGTGACTTAACTGCACTTGTTCCTGCTAGGATAGCCCCTTGGTAGATGACAGTCTCAGGCATCACATAAACTCAGCCAGCTGATGTGTTCTCCTTCCCCTAGAATCTCTCCAACAATGGTCCATAAGAATTTTTTTTTTTCCTTTCTCAACGTTACATTCTTCAAAAACCATTTCCTGTTAGGCTCCACCAGGAAGAGGAGGCAGCCTGGGATTTCCACTTTCAGAGCGTATGTGCAACCCTGTTGAGTTTATCAGTTCTGTAAGGAAACTGTGCGGCATGTGAGTTTATCAGTTCTGTAAGGAAACTAGGCAGCATGTAGCAGCCAGACTGGCACTACTGGCCAGTGTCTGAGGGCACGAGCAAGGGAGGCAACCAAGGAGGAACAGAGATTCTGTTGATTCAGTTTTCCTAAGTGAGTGTGGCTCTCTGGGGGTGGACTCCTTCTGCCGTCCTGTAATGACATAACTATTTTAGGAAAGAGCCCCTCACTCAGAGGGAATCCAGTGTGAGGCAGGGAAGCCAGACTGGCCAGTGCTATTCTGGGCCCTGTGCACAGGAAGGATATTCGGGAAAGACCTTCGGAGGAGAGGATGACTGCTCAGGGGGCCCAGAGGCTGGAGGCTAAACCTGTGCTCAAGGCCTGGGTGACTGTGTTGTCACAGAAACAAACAGATACTGGGGGAAAGCAAGGGCAGCCAGCAATAGTTAAGCACTCAGTTAGTTGCTGGTGCAAATGGCAGAGGGAAGAATGGGTTAGGGCCCTGTGAAGCCTGGATTGCCAAATAAAAGGCAGACTGATGAAGAATCTAACCCAAGGCTTTTGCATGCCTTTCTTATGCAGAGGTTTGTCCTGCTGGAGAAGTGAGAAAGATAGATCAGTGATTCATAGGATTCTGTTAAGCCGGTCAGGCAAAGATGTTGATGAGGGCCAGGGAACCCATGTCCAAGGGAAGCAGTTGGAGACTGACCAGGCCTAGCCACAAGCAGTGTATGGACAGGAGGTTCTCAGAGCTGTGTCTGTGTCTTGCTCTTGTAGCAGGAACACATTGTCTGTGCCCGTCCACAGAAGCCTGTGTATCTCCTCAGCAGTTGCAAGGCTTACTGGCTGAGGTCTGGGGTAGTGCTAGATTTTCTTAGCACGCCTGTGTTCACATGTCTTGATGCAACCCCCCCACACACACACACACACACGCTGTGTGTTTCATGAAGCCACAGATAAAGGACCAGACACTGCACATCCCAGATCAAGAGCTCTGAGTGTTGACAGCAAGGACTGCCTATCTTCTAGATAGTCCAAGCATGGACAGACCAGAGCCACGGGCACATCAGCTCTAGGGCTCTCTGTCCTACAGAGAGAAAAGTCAGAAAATGATTTTTTAAAAATTTTATACTTGAGGTCATCTGGTCCCGGTGTCCCTGATGGAAAAGTTCTCATAAAATGAGCACACCCAGGGGAGGAGGTGATGGCTTAGCTGGCCTTTTCCTCTACCATTTCTCTACCAGGCCTTCTCTGGACCCATTGTAGAAACTGTTAGAAATAGAATGCAAAACATCCTTTCCCCTCCCCTTCATTCCCCCCATTGGGGTTTTTGCTCTATTGCGTCCACCTCATTTCTTTGAGGCAGGGTCTCTCATTCAACCCAAAGCTCACTCTTTGGCTAGGTTGGCTGGCCAAAAAACTCCCAGGATCCACCTATCTCTGCCCCTCATGGGCACACACAGCCAAGTCTGGCTTTTATATGAACACTGAGGATTCGAACTCAGCCCTTCATGCTTGTGAGGAAGTGTTTTTATGCGCTTAACTACATCCCCAGGGTCCCCCTTTTCTTCTAATTTTAAAACATTGTTTTGTTTTTGTTTTTTATTATTTGAGACAGGGTTTCTCTGTGTAGTTCTGGCTGTTCTGGAGCTCACTTTGTGGGCCAGGCTGGCCTTGAACTATCTGTGCTGCCTCCCAAGTGCTGGGATCAAAGGCATGCGCCACCACATGTGACTAAATAATTGTTTTGAAATTTTACTTATTTGCATATGTGGTTTGTATGTGTATGTGTGTCGGTCTCTGTGTGTGTAGGTCAGAGGACAACTTTTGGGAGTTGGTTCTCTCTTCCCACCATGGATTCTAGGGATCCAACTCATGGTGCTGAGCCATCTTGTCAACCCTGAGTCATAGGTTTTTATGTTTTGTTTTGTTTTGTTTTCTACATGACTAAAAGATTACAGATTTGAGCAGATATCCTCCTGCATTTGGAGCATTAGTGTGGCTGTCATCTCTCCCAGCAATGTTGTACAAATCTTTCTCTCACTGGAACTGTTTCTTTATAACACAGAGGGAATAATGATATTCACCCACAATGGTGTTGAATGATATGAAAGACCTTATTCTCTCGGCTACTACACAAGTTATAGCTTGGAAATGATTTTGAGAAAAAGTATTGATATTCTGGAGAAATGTAAAAGAAAAACCAGGGTGAAACTAATGTCCTTGGGCCCAGTGTTACTGCATACATATGCTTTCCCAAGTCAAAACAGACTGCAAGCTCATTATCTAAGTAAGCTGAGGTTGTCTACCTCAGAATTCAAACGGCTACAGAATACCAGGTTTGGCATTAGGATTTCTTCTTTACTTAGTAACACACTTCCCTTTGATTTTCACAGTAGGCTGTTTTGTGTGGGAATGTTGGAGAGGAAGCCTTGACACTGAGACATCCAGGCTGTGAGTTGGGACCTCAGTTGAGATCCCTATCACAGGAAGCAAACTGGAACAATGGCTTTACGACACTCTCTTCCATGCTGGGCTGAGGACAGAACACATTCTGGGGGGACCATGAGTCGAATATCACTTAATTGTCTTAAGTTCTCTTTTGAGATGAGCCCTACACTCCGGGACTGAGGGAGAGTAACTTCTGCAATCCGGGAGCTTTAGACCACAGTCAATGTGCAAAACTGATCCGAGGCCTCCCCAGATTCAGACCTGGTAAAAATGCACATTCTCTTTATTGAGAGCTGGAAATCAACACAAAGCCAGATTTCTAGAACTGAATGTCAGGTTTATTTTGAATTCCTGGCATTTGCCTAGTGAAGGCACATAGTCTCCACAGGAGATGGTGATGATGTCCTTCCTGATCCCCAAACTGCTCAGGGAGACATTAAAATTCAGGACACATGATTTTAAAGTTTTCGCCGTGACCTTTCCATCAGGAAAAGTGGGACAAGGGGACAAAATTACGGCAGCAGATGTGGTCTTTGTGCCCTCTTCTGCCTCATGGTCAGACCTATTTTTCCTGGTTTTCATCCCAGTTGTCTTTACTGTACCACTCCCTGGCCCCACCTATACTCCAGATCAAGGCATTTTTCTGTCCTGTTTGGAAGAAAGCCAGTAAGATGATTCATGCCAGGATGTCTATGGTTGAGAGAGCCAGCAGTCCCTTCAAGAAATACTAACTTTGTTCACAACATTATCCTAAAGCTAGTCTAGTCAATCTGTAGGTATCAACTGAACATAGCCCTTCGTAGCATTTTATGGAAAAGGGAAGATGGGATGAGCAGATATGGAAAGAACAAAATAAAAATCTCCAGTGGTGAACTTTTGGGGTACACCAGGAGTCCAGTGATATCTATCCCCCTGCCAAAAGTGTGAGATAGCCCAGGCCTGCCCATGGTGGGCAGTAAGTGGCTCATACTCATTGCCTTGTGGCTTGTGTGGCACTGGATTTGCTGTCCGTGTACCTGGAGGGCCTGAGCACTGCGGTGGTGCTGGGACAGGGGGAAACTGCACAGGCAACAGCTTTGTAAGGAAAGACCCTGCAGACGTAGCTAAGCTGCAAGCGCCCTTGGAGCAGGAAGCCTGTATCTGACCTTGTTAAGACCGGTCAATGTCTTGAAGAAGGAAGTGCTGAGAGGAATGATCCTGGTAGAGGAAGAATGTGGCCAGCATCCTAGCCAGCCTCACCACTGGCAGAGGTGGGCCTTCAAGACCCAGCCAGAGGCTGCCTGTTCTGCCACCTGCCAGTTTACCCTGGACGGTCAGCTCCTGCTGTCCTGGTGTGCCACCCAACATGGGTGGTGCTGCCATGAAGGAAATGAGTGGCGCTCCGGAAAAGGTGCTCCAAGCCCTCCTCACTGCACATATCCTGGCTGCGGGGAGTCATCAAAGCCTGTTTACTGGCACTATTTTTAGCATTAAAGAATCGTGTTGTGCTCTCTAGCCGAGACCGTGCTCCTCCTCAGCAGAGGCAGCCGGTCTGTATACCCCAGTCCTTCTCTGAGATTTGAACCCTGGCAGGTCTGGGGAAGCAAGTGGCCAGCATGTCAAACCCAAGATAATGAAAAGACCCAGCCAGTACCTTAGTAAGCACCTACTTTATTTTGTGCCAATGGCTTACTCTCCATTGTTGTCAGGGTCCCCAGCAAGTTTAGACTCGGAAGATGGCTTCTTTGGAAGTCTGTTGATCTCTAAAGAGGTGGGATTGCCTTTATCCTTTCAGTATCCCCCGTTCTCCCTAGGACAGGACTGTGTGTGTAATGGGTGGCACTGGTGAACCGATTACTTTTCTGAAGCCCAGGACAGACAGAGTAAACTCTCAGTAACTGTGCAGGGAGTTCCTCTTTTCCCACGCCAGTGCAGGATCAGATTTTGACATTTAGGGGGAGAGCTGATGTGTACAGTGGCAAGACATAGCAGTCTTCAGCAGAGACGAGGCATGAGGCTCGGGGCTCTGGGTGCAGGAGCCGGGGACATCAGCCTCCCTTGTCCAGGCTGGGAGTGACTTGGCTATGTTCCTTGGGAGACTCTTGGGAGGATAAGCAGGTGCTGCAAGAGCAAATAGTTCCATTGAAGGAAGAGGCCACGCCTGAGCCTGGCTGCCCCAGGGTCCCAGGGAAGGGGGGGACAGGACGGACTGCTGGTGTCCTTGACCCTGTAGCCATTGTGACTTCAGTCTCAAGATGTTCTGTTAATCTTCATGGCCCCAGAGAACTCTTCTTCCTTCCCTCCAAAGGCTAGTCAACCCTCCACTGTAGCCAATTGTAGCCAATTTCGCCACCTCCTGGAAGTAAGCAGACTAGACGCTACAGAAAGCGCTTGGCTGTGCTAGGCCTGTTAAAAACAGGAAACTTTAAGCAGAACTCTTTTCCCTGGGCCTAGTTAACCCAAATAGGTTGTGTTGGGATTACTCCAGGTTTTGAAGTCAGTGTTACCACTGAGATCAAAGACTCTGAAGAGAAAACAACTTCTCAGTAGGCTTCAGGGCTGGACTCGGCTTGTCTGGGAAAAGTGGCCACCTAGTTAGTGTAACCCAAATGCAGCTGAAGCCCTCTCATTGCCTATTTCCTAGATCAGGTGCCCCTGCCCAGACTGGCTGGTTTTCTCTACACAGGGGCTAGTGATATAACCTGGAATTGAGATAGGCCGCAGCAAGTGATTCCTGGAGCAACAGCTTTGACACCTTCTGAACATTTTTTTTAAAAGGTGAGGGAGGAAATAAAAGCACACCCAGATCCCCTGAATTATGACAGAAGCCCTCCAGCACCATCCTGGGTGGGGTATAGTCTCCTCACACTGGCAAGGGTCTTGGGCTTGGCTTAACTTTTCAGCAGTGGTTTCCACATTTTTCTTTTTTAACTTGGCACAAAACGCCATAAATGTCATAGCAGTCCTGGGCCCAGAAGTTCTTTCTTAACCTCCAGGAGGCCCTAATGCACCCTGGTACCCTCTCTCCTGACACCCCTGTTTAGTGCCCTGGGGGCACTAACATTAGCAGCTACTTCTCTTGCTCCCCCACAATGAGCTCATCCTCATTAGTCCAGAAAACTAGTCAGCTGCCAAAGGGCACTGGACTGAGCTCCCAGGAGGGTATCCAGTGTGGCATAGGGAGGCAGTAGGATGTGTTAGCTGCTTGAACTAGGTATGAAGAGCTGGCATTGCCTTCATTGTGTCTCATCGCTTTGGTAAACTAAGGAAAGGTTACCAGGAGAAAGTCCCATTCCAGCCCTCTGTAGTAGTGGCAGGATCCATGACCCTGGCATGTTCTATGGTTCTGTGCCCTGAAAAGTAGCTGGCTCCCAGCAGGCCCACCAAAGCCCCTTCATAGGAGCATCTGCACATCTGGGGCTGTTCTTCCAAATCTCACATTTGAGGGTTCACAGAAAGGAAGAAAGGAGAACCAAACAAACCCAGTGTCCTTGCTTCAGCAAGGGTCTTTGATCTTGACTGTGCAGCAGAAATGATGTCACTGGCCAAGTAGCCCAGCTATCTAATTGCATTTTATGCTCCCTGGAAGAGTCTCCATTTGAAAGACTCCTTTTACACCAGTGAATATTAACTATCTTAAGTGGCAACCTAATCTCTAAGCCTCTTGTTCTGTAAATCAAGCCAGGCATTCTTGGACTGATGCTTATGCTAGATTAATCCATATTCTTATAGTAGTTGTTGTTCGTATTCTTTGAGACAAGGTCATGTTATATAGCTCTGACTAGCCTTAAACTCACTGTATAGACCGGGCTGGCCTTGGATTCAGAGATCCACCTGCTTCTGCCTCCCAAGAGCTGGGATTAAAGGTGTGTAGTACCACACCTGGTTGAATGCAGATTTTCAAAGCACACGTACATTTGGCATTAAATAATGAATTAGAAGAAGGTACAGTCTGTAGTGTGAGGACAACAGCAAAGGGCCAGGGCCTGGGAGTTCTTTTTGTCTGGACAGGAGCAGAGCCTATATTTTGCAGATAGCAAAGGTGTACTTGGTAGTCCAGGGTATACAGAGTGCATGGTTGGGGTTAGCTCTTCCCCACGTTAGCCCCAGCATCCACCTGTTTAGTCTGTCACTTGCTCTCTCAACTCTGTTTTGTGCCTCTAAGTTTCATTCTCTTTAAACTATTCTGTATGCTATTCCCAGGCTAACGTCTCCAAAGCAGTGCTTTGAGATGCCACCTCTCTGCCCCATGGGCTGGAAGAGGAGGTTCTTCAGAATGCTGGGCTTTCTTTACTTGTCCAGCAAGACAAGAATGGAGCTTCTATATCAAGGTGGGCTCTTCTCAGTCCCAGGAGGAAGCCTTGCCCCATGCATTTCAGAGTGGCAGGCCAGTCTC